GTAAAAGTGGTCCAAACTTGGTGGGTGATCAGCATTCGATAAGAGCTATGCCCACACAAAATTAGAAGTCTCTAGCTATCATGGTTCTTGAGTTACAGGGGGGTCGGTACTTTTGACAAGTACTGTATATATTGCCTTTTCAAATATTCTTCTGCTTTGCGATAATTGTTATCACTATATCCTATTCCATCTAAATTGTTATAAAAAGCTAAAATTTCTAATAGATAATTTAATTCGAATATGCATAGAACTTCTAGAGCACTTTTATAGTTAGTAATTGCGAATTTCAAGCGACCAATTTGATAAGGAATATGTCCTATGTAATTGTCCAATAGCGGTGTTGAAATGTAATTCGATGATAATGATTTTGTTCTTATATCGAGTCGTTTGAAACAATTAGGGAAGTGAGCTGTTGGTGAATCTCATTGAACTATTTAATTATTACATATGGCCACCGTACGGATTTTACTATCAATCGGTGCTAATTTCTCTGCCTTTTCAAAGTATCTCTTGCTATCGCTTTATGTCCTTTGTTGAGGTAGAATAATATCAATTCGATTATAGAGAACAGGCAGATCTGGATGATTTCCGGGTAGTTCTTTTAGTAACATTAGATAGCAATCCTCGGGTTTATCATACTCGTCCATCTTCATTAAAAAGTCGCCTAATGCCCAAAGGCTGCACGTTTTACCCAACTGTTGTTTTAAAAACTCAGTTACTACTATGGAACGTCTATTTTCCTCTTTACTTAATACCAGTTCTATAGTCCACATTCTTTTACCGTGATTTATCGCACTAACTTTGTTTATCCACCATACTGTTCCAGTTGAAAATAGAACTTCTTCATCCTTCCTACAGCTATTTTACGGGTGGTATAGAGCCAAAGGCTTTTATTACTATAGAATGGTCAATAGTTAGCTTAAATAGAATTGCCATAAAACCCAGCAGTGTCTAGTTCTAGACTTCCACGGAAATTCCTAGAACTGACAGAATTCGACACATTCAAATATATACCATAGATACGATTCTGTTCAGAATCGGATTGAATTCTGGTAGAAGTCCAATTCTAGTTCTACCAGAATCTGGCAGAATTACAGCAGAATTGCGCCAGAATCTGCCAATTCCTACCGAGAATCTACACAGAGTTATATACATCTATTTAGAGTTACATTATTTCACACTTAGATTCTCTCTACGTATTGGCAGATTCTGCTCAATTCTGCCGTAATTCTGGCAGATTCTGATGCAATTCTACTAGAATTCAACCAGAATTCACTACATATTCTCTATCACTTTGATATACTGTCTACGAATTGGCTGATTCTTGGAAAATTCTGCTGTAATTCCGCTGGAGTCTGGTCAAATGTTTCTACCGGAATCTGACGAGATTTGAACCAGAGTCTGGTAGAATTACAGCAGAATTACATTGGCTTGATAGCCAATGTATAATGAGATGAGAAAGAGAAGTGACGATGCATGTATTAGCAAAGCGTTTTTAAAAATACTCAGTGAAAGTTGTTTGTATATTATGCATCACTGCCTTTCTTTTCTGTATTATATACTTGGAATTTTCCAAGTACATAAAGTTATTAGTCATACAACTGCGCATACACATCCATCCTGCTGGAATATTTGTTGGTTCTATACACTAACATGAAAAAGGAATTTTTCTAGCGCCTATAAAGCTATTACGTAGCTGTAGAATTTTCATAGGAACTAAATGGCTCTGTGGAAGTGGTTATTGACGCTTTGGATATAGTTAGTAACGGTATTACACGCTGCTACAAGAAACAGAACATTCTCGTTATAGATGTCGTCGTCTTCAGCTACATCCGGAACACCGCTCAAGCTACTATCACGTTGGGAAGAACTTCTAAGAGAGGTCGATGACTATGGTATCTGCGATCTGCACAGTATCCATTTACACCGACGAAATACAATAGATTGGAGTGATTGGCATCTAAATATCGATAAGAATGATAATGCTATAAAAACGGTGAAAAATTTCATCGGGATTTTGTAAAATTAAAATTATCTTCAAGCATAGTCGAGGAAATATACTCAATAGAGGAAACATTTCTAAAATTGATGTTTACTGACGTTGATTGGACTACGATTAGAGAATGTTTCAGAGAAACTCGTAAAAAGACAGTCCATTTCCAATCCTCAAAGCCTATACCTGGAGTCAACAGCTCAGCAATCTTCTACATAAACATTCAGCTTTTGTCCAACGCACAGTAACCTGAAACGCAGTATGAATAAGAACCATCTGACCTGTACATTTTTCAACCTTTACTCGTGCTGCAAGGTTTCCTAAGAGCCTCAAAATAGGTTTCCGATTGCTTTTGGTCGACGCAATAATGAATCAGTAACATTCTGTTTTACACTACTTCCGCTGAATATAACAAGATTCATAGAACAATCAAAGGGCATTAAGATGAACTCAAACTTTCACGATTAGAACCCAGGGGTAGCTTCTGATGCGGAAAAGAAAAGAGAAGGCAAAAACTGAGTATGATATCAACAAGGCTTTCCAACGATTGACTAAAGGCATAGTATACAATCAAGCCTATGTTTCTCTCTACTGTCAGAATAAATAGCAATTCCAGTTCGGTATATCAGGAAAGTTTGCGCTCATTTGAATGTGTTTTGATTGACCTATGAATTTTGTAGACTGAGTGAGGGTACCCTACAAACAAGATATTTTTGACATTATAGATTCTCGCTGAGTTTGTCAGTCTTTTCCGCACAAAAAATAACCATTGTTGTGAGGCACAGCGTGGTGAACAACCTATGTTTCGGTCCATTTCTGGCAAAGGTGCTCCCATGTCGACTCTTTCAAATGGAAAGAGATAAAAGAGGCCGATAAGGCTGAACTTTTCTACATAGCCACTTCTGTAGTCTGTACAATGAAGATAGCCTGGAAACAGGATCTGGGGCAGTTATTGACTATATAGTCAATTGTGCTTCTCGTGTAGTGGCTCATATGCATCCTCCAGAAGGCGTGTTACAAGCGTTTCTGTTCTTCCTGGCTTATGAAATCCGAAACTCGACTTGATACAGTTTTAATTTAGTTTAGTTTTACAACCACTTATCAGTTAGTAGAGACTCAAAACAATATTCGTTGCTGAAAGAATCAAAAGAAGATACCACGATCGGTTTCGACCTTTCTCAAGGGTATCGTCAGGTGGTTTCCTTCTAGAAAGTCAGAGTGAAGGCACGACAAACAACACAAATCTGTCCACACCGTATGAGGGTATGACTACTCTTTGTTCTTATCGAAGTAACGAATAAGCGATTGTAAAACTAAACTAAATTAAAACGTCCTAGCGTAGTTGTGAACTTCCAAGTAGTTGGAGAAATATATTGAACCATTTAAAGTTGATACAATCGTAGTTGCTTAATTTAGCTCTAGGCTGTCACCAACAAATCATACGTGATTATTTTAACTACAATATCTCAAATTACTATGCTCGTATGAAAAAATGAAGGAAGTCAATAAAATAGGCATAACCAGTAGAGCTTGAGCTTTTTATTATGAGCCGCATAACCAATCAGCGAAACGATCCAACAAACAAAACGACAGAATTGTCTTTTTCAAACGACTTGTTACAAGATATTCAAAGTAATTTTTCAGCCGTTGAACAATCGCCTTTTGAAGAAGTTGCTGCTTGTGTATCAAACACAGATGATGAAACACTTTCGTGTAATACGTTTCGATCGTGGACTATCGGAATTGCATTTACAGTTCTAACGGGTGGCCCATAAAGAATGGCGGTCTCAGTATTTCGTGAATATCTCATGCAGTTTTTATCGCTCCGACCTCGCCTTTTTTTCAAAAGATTCCCCATTCAATTCTCTACAAAAAAGTGTGAAAAGAGTTTCTACAAAATAGAACCGTGAAACTCTATGTGGTGAATATTGGCATGCTCTGAAAATGCCCTTTTTCAAAGTATGTCTTATCGTTTGTTGCATTTCACGTCACCATATGACTAGATATAGAAAGATTGAAGATGTCAATTTGTAGCTCTCGAAAAGCCCTATCAGCCGATCGATGATAGAAAAATTCTGACTTTGAAACGTGTATGAACAGAACGTTTTTCTTTTTTCTCACATTGATGTTTTTTTGGATCTATTATTGGACTTCTCCGTAACCTTCATGCGGTTAGTTCAAAACGTAACTTTTCACAGTCGAATCTTTGCCAGTTCGAAGAAAAATGCTCTTTCTATCATCGCTAAACGACTTTATCGGTGTTCAGTGAGTTTTGGCAACAAATTGTGCGTGAGAACAAAATGTTGAAATATTCCAGCTCGTTTTTCAAGGCAAACTGTACCTGAAATCTCGTAATACTATCCAAGCAACTCGTTTCAAGTGCCATGAGAAAGAGCATACTTGAAAATAGCGAGAAATGTGCACCACAGTGATTCGGCACTTTATTAGTCAGAGGGAGAAAAAAACTTAATATTGTGAAAACGTGCGTTTGAAAACAGGCCTTTTCGGAGCATACCAGTGTTCACCAGATAGAGTTTCACGGTTTCATTTTGTGCAAACCCTTTTCACCCTTCTTTGTACAGAATTGAATGAGGAATCTTTTGAAAAAAAG